TCTTTAGCCCCAGGACAGCTGAATGGTGGCCGAGCTTCCTTCCCTAACCTCAGACAACCTCTCCCCTCCCAAGACCCCTACTCCCTCAGGCTTCTGAAGCAGCCCTGGCGTCAAGGTTGGGACTATAGTGTGTGGTACTCCCCAGGCCCTGCTACTGGGCAGTTGACCCTGGCTATTTCTAAGGTGACTTGGTGCCCCCCATTGGTCACTTTTCTGGACCTCCAAATGACAATATTAAAATAACCAGGTCAGTGAGTCCCAATCATCCTAACTAACGAGACCTCAGAGCCTTTTTGGTGTGTGCCAATTGATGTCTGCTGGGCGGGAGGCAACCTGTTCCTCTCCTGAGCACTGTGCCCTRACCGTGCCGCTGGGCTGCTCTCTTCCCTGTAGTTCACCATGGCATCTGTGGTGAGCTCCTACCTGACCTTCAAGACCCAGGATGATAAATTCAGTAAGGAAATGGGGAGGTGGGTGAAGAAAGCATTGGAAGGAGGGCAGGTGGGTGTTTTAAGATTTGCCAACAGGCCGAGCATGGTGGTGTTTGCCTGTAATCCCAGTAGCTGGGGAGGCTGAGACAAGAGGATCCAAGTTCAAAGCCAGCCTCTGCAACTGTGAGGCACTAAGCAACTCAGTGAGACCCTGTCTCTAAATAAAATACAAAATAGGCCTGGGGATGTGACTCCGTGGTTGAGTGTCCCTGAGTTCAATCCCTGATACTAAGAAAAAAAATTTTGCCAACAGATGCATCAAGTTTTTGTTTGCTTACGTGTTGATTTGATTTTGAAACACTGGTTTTCCACCGTCATCCTCTTCAGCATGACAGCTTTTTAAGGATCAAATGAATTAATGAAATGTATACAGATCATTTTCAGAGGTGCTAAGCCCTCCYTCAAATCACTGGCCCTGGCAGTCTGCTGGTCCAGCTGGGTGGTGGTGGCCTAGTTCTTTAACTGCTCTCAAACAGGGCCTTTTTCCAATGTCAAGGGTCAGATTCTCTCATTGGTGTCCCATCTCTTCAAGTTGAGAGAGCTCCAGATGGTCCCACAAGACCCTCTCCACTCTCTGCCACCTCGTGGTCCCCTTGAGCAATCTCTCTCTTTAGGCAGGATGCAGAATAAGCTGGCAAGGTCAAGGTCATGTCCACTCCGGGGTGCAGCTCTCCAAGGGAAAACAGAAACTCAAGGCCATGCCTGGGATGTTGAGTGGGGCTCCTTTATTCTGAAAGAGGAAGCTGAAGGATGTCATGGGCCCACCTGGGCTGCCATGCTGAAACTGGGGAGGTTTGCTCGAGTTGTTGGAGTGTGAGGGAAGATATGGATTGGCCTTGACCTTGGCCATGCAGAGGAGGCTGCTGCTGGGTGCTGCCCAGCATTGGCTGGTGCTGCCTTTGGGGGAGGTAAGCCCCTTGTCCCTGGAGGCATGCAGATTCAGTAAGGGATATTTCAGAGAGGGCTCATGATGATGGCATCCAAGCCTCCCATCCCCCAGCTCTGAGAATCCGTGGCCTTAGATTGCTGCAAATGGAATGCCAAGAACTGGGAAACCAATGAAAGAAATCCACTGAAGTGAGGACCAAGCTATAAAAAAAAATCTTTATTTCATGTACCAGGATTTTTTGTTTTTGTTTTTTTTTTTTTTTTTTTTTGAGTTTTCTGATTTTTAAAATTTTTTTCTGTTAACAGTCTGAAAAAAAAAAAAGGACCCACCAAGAAAATAAAATGGAGGTTGATTTCTTGGACTGGTTGGAGCTGGACATGAGCAGTCATCCACCCTGGGAAGCAGTGCCCTGGCAGTCCGAGTCCCAGCTCCTTCCCTCCTGGCCCCCTAGCCCTTTCTTGGCCACTCTGGTGTCTCCCACGCCCCCACCCCCATGGCCTTCTCCAAGCAGCCTCAGGCCCCAGGCCTTGCCGCCTGGCCAGGAGAGAAGTGTGATCACCAGCCCAAGTCCTCCACAGAACTCTGAGAACCGGGRCCAGTTCGCCTCTCTGGCTGGACTGTGCCCACTGGTCGGCCGTGCGCCCTGGGCCCCTCCTTCTCTCCAGGTCTTGATCCGTACTGCTTTGGAATCTGGTGGGGTGGTTGCAAGTGGGGTGGGGAAGGGATAGACTGCCATTCCTGCCCACTCTGAGAGATACTCTGTTGTCATCACAAACTAAGTGGCCCCCACTGCGGGGCTGGGGCCCATGGCTGCCCCTTGCACTCTGGGCTGAGCTGGCAGATGGTCTGCCTTGTGCTGGGGCTGGGTTGTAAGCTCCAGCTGCTGAGCTGGGGCAAGAACCTTCTCTTACAGACAAGGCAGGAAGGGCAGCTGGGAGTGTGAAGCTCAAGGACCTGTCCAGTCTCCCCTCCTGCTCCCCAGAGAGCTCCACCTGGGAGACCTCGTGAGGGCCAGTGGGGAACATGCAGACAGAGGTGGCTGCTGCAGGCGGCAGGGGCCACAGTCCGTGGACTGGCTCACAGKCTGGTTGGAAGTAAGTTTCTAGCATGGAAAAGCTGTTGGATTCTGCTCAGTCTGAACTGGCCCTTGTTGCTTTGGGCAAGAAAAGGGAGAAATCTGGGTGTCCCCGCGCTGTAGTGGGTAGTGAAGTTTAAGCTTGGTCTGGGGCTCTCCCGGGGACAGGGATGGCACTCTGTTGAAACTGTCTCCATAGAGGGAGATTCTTGTCCCCTCCTGGCAAACCTCAGAGATCCTCTTTTTTACTGACTCCCAAAGACAGTGGAGGACTTTGGCGGCTGACTTCTTCTCTCAAGGGAGTCTTTTCACTCTCTACAAAGGGGCTATGGCATTAAAGAAAGGGGACACAAGATGAAGAGTGGCTTTGGGGACCTCTTTGTCTTTTCTCTCATTGAATGGCAGGATACATTGGCTGTCGTGTGTATATTTTTGCTTTGACATTGGATGTGGGATAGGGGGCTGGGGAGCACAGTGAGGAGGCATATGGTGTGAGTGTGTGTGTGTGTGTGTGTGTGTGTGTGTGTGYGCGYGYRCWMKMGCGCGCACGTGTGCAGGGGATGGGAGAGAGAGAGAGACTTGACTGACAACTTGGGAATGTTCTCAATGTCACTGGAACACAGTGGTAGCTGTTTTATCATCCCTGGCGTGTTCCTCTGGAACGATCTTAAAAGTCAGATACATGGGACAAGAACCGGTTTTTGGAGCTCATTGGTCAGTGCACACGCTTACTCAGGGGAAATGAAGGCCCAGAGAGGCCACAGAACAAGGAAGTCCAGAATCCAGTCCTGGGTTCCAGACCAGTGCCCTTTCCATGCATGTGAGCGTGTGTGTGTGTGTGTGTGTGTGTGTGTGTGTGTGTGGTGTGCAGTGCGTGGGCATGCAGAAGCACAGAGGCCAGCGTGGGGTTCTGGTGTCATTGTCCATGGCTCTGTGTGTGAGGGGGCTGGTTTTCTCCCTGGCTGTGTGCGGGGTGGGAGGGTGTGGTCTGAGTGTGTCCCTGTGCACAGGGGCTGTGCCAGGCTTAGCCAACTGGACTGGATGGGTGTGTGAGGAGGTTGGGGTGGGGCCTCCTTCTCTCCCACATTAGCAGCACTTCCTGATGGAAGGAAGAGATCTTTCCAGCAAACTCCCTGCCGCTCACTGGGGCCTTTCTCCTCCTCCCGTGGCTTTAAGCCCAGCTCACATCTCACACAACAGTTTTGTATTTTTAATGGATTTGTATATTTGTTTTCTGTTTTGTCTTTACAAGTTCCCTGCTAAATTTTAAGTCCCCCACCCACCCCATTTTTTGTTTTCACAGTTTAAAGCTGGAAAAGAATTAAAAGAAAAATACTATCTGATTTTCTTGCAAGTAAATCCACTTATTATATATTTACATTTATTTATAGTCTGTGGTTTTTTTATTAAAAAAAAATCACCACTTGTTTTTCCTTTTTCTTTTGTAAAAAGAAACCTTTTTGCAGTGTCACTGTTGGACCCGCTGGGCCCCAAGGGGGCGCCAGTGAGTCTAAGGACCCCCCAAGGGTCAAAGAGCCCCTTTCCCAGGGGTCTGGAGGCCTATGAGTTGGGGGTTCACTATCGCCCCAGGGTCACGGGGTGGCCCTGAGGGGAGGGGCGAGGAGGGAGAGCTGCTTTATATCCCCGGGGGGTGGGTGTCTCCTGACCCCAATGACAGGAGCTTGGGGGTGGTGACCCCAAAAGGCTCACCCTGAGGGTTCCGGGGTTTCGGTGTCTCGGTAGGAGGCAGCCATCCCTTCTCTTTCCCTTTCCTCGAGGCTAGAAGTCATCACAGTGGGTTAAGGACCATTAAGGACTGGGAACCTGGGGCTGGGCGAGCCCCTAGCGCACCCCCTCCAGGCACCTAACGGACAGGAGGGACCAAGGGCTCTGGTCACCTGGAGGCCTACAATTGCCCCATCAGTGCTGGGCGGAGCCGGCTCTTGAGCCACTGAGCATTCCCAGCGTCCCCAGGGCRCACTCCCAGGGGCTCCAGGGACCTGGCAGTGACCACAGGCTCCCCTGGCCCCTGGGGGCCCCTGAGTCTCCACCCCGCACTCTCCTAGGGAGGCAGGGCCCGCTGGGGTTAAAGGGAACTAAATACTTTTGATTTTTTAAATTCTCCCGCAGTTAAAAAGAAAAAGAAGGTAACAAAACCCCTAATAAATACAAAGAGCATTCCTTTTCCTTCCACTCCTCTCCTCTCCTCTCTGTCTCTCTCGCTCTCTCTTTTTGCTTTAATGTTATCTTGGTTCCCTTTTATTTTTTCATTTAAATTGGTTTTTATTAAATGTTAAAATAATGGTACATGGGAAATCATGCATTTTCTTTTAGATTTATTTCTAGTTTTAATTGTTTATCCCTCGAGCTTTAGTTTAAAGTTTGTCTTTCCTCATTTATGTTTTTCCCGCATTGCCTGTTTTGCTTCTTTGTTCCTCTTGTTATTTTGTTCTTTTTTTTTTTTTTTAATTTACTTGCTATTTTTTCTCTTTTTTTGTTTTGTTTTGTTTGTTTCGTGTTTTTTGCTCGCCGAGGTCTCCCGGGGCCCTCCCCGCCCGCGGGCCCCTCTGCCCGCCGCCCGCCCGTCCCGTCAGGCCCTTCACACGGGCGTGGTCCGGCGGTTGGCTGTGTTGGAGTGGAGAGAGTCCTTGTTCTCCTTCTGGATACAGTTGTGGACCTGGAGGAAGCTGTTGTCCCTGTCCGAGTTGTAGGTGGCGGTGGGCGTGGTGGCGGCCTTCAGGGGGTCCCGGCTGAGGGTGTACATGGAGATCTCCGTGGACGGCAGGGTGTTGAAGCCCTTGACGCCCACGGGCGAGGCGTCCCTGGAGTGCGAGGGCTCGGTGGAGCGCGAGCTGGAGCGGCTGCGGCGCTGGTAGCGGTAGCGGTAGCTGGGGATGCGGGTGATGGCCGAGGCCTGGAGGTAGTCCGTGGCGCGGGCCGTGGCCCGCAGCTGTTTGTGGCGGTCGATGAACATGTGCACCGCCAGCACCCCGACCATCTCGGCAATGATAAAGGACAGGGCCCCGAAGTAGAAGGACCAGCCGTAGGAGTAACTATTCTTTTTGGAGTCGCTCTTGGAGGGGTCCCCGGCATTGGCAGATATGTACACTATGATGCCGATGATGTTACTAAGACCTGTGGGCACCAGGGGTGGGCGGGGGACCAGAGAGGATGGGTTAGTTCCRGAGGATGTGGGCCATCGGGCAGGATCACAGGGCAGGGACAGCTGGGTAGCCTTCCCTTTCAGTGATGCACAGGTGGATGGGTAGAGAGGGACACTGGCGGACTTCACCTTAATATTGTACCATCTAGAGGGGAAGGATGGTGAGACAGACACGTGGAAAGAGTGGAGAGGAGAGAGGTGCTGGTCATCGGATCGGGAATAACAATAGATGCTGTTTATTGAGCAGCCTTCTCTGCTTAGTGCTTCGTGAACAGTTTACAGATGAGGAGTCAGAGAGGCTAAGCCACTTGCTCAAGGCAGCACAGGGATTTGAAGCTGGTATAACAGGAGGTTGACTGGCTCTGGGAACCATTGCTTTCATTCAAAGCTTTTGGCAAGTGAAGCTTTGTCTCAGTTTCCCCCTCTGTAAACTGGGGCTGATAGCAGACCTGACCCCTGAGGRGCCGTGGGGAGGGTTACATAAAGGAACACTCGTGGATGCTCTTGGCTCCTGGGACATGGTAAATGCTCCTCAGATGTTAGTCAGTTCTACTAAGTGGCTCATGACATGCTCCTTTTCTGGCCCCTGAGGCGAGTGTGACTGGTTAGAAGTCGGATTTGGGGACCTGCCTGCTACCACCTGGCTGGGACCGTGAGGGCCGGTCCTCCCTTCACTTCTAGGCTGGAGCTGGGCATCTCGTGGATGGCCTTTTCAGTTTGCGGGTACTGTAGGGCAGAGGACAGGTGGGGACAGGCCTAGCACTTGAGAGGGCCCAGGATTTAAGTTGGAAAATGGTGGGAGGACGATGGCCTCTGGGCCAAGGGAAGGGGTGTTCCTGTGGGACTCCGAGGGGCTGGAGGTGGTGCCTTCCCCTGAGTGAGGCCTCGAGGTGCCCTGCCCTCTCAGTGCCTCTGCTAGGTCCTCCCATCCCGGGCTGGGGGGTCCTCTCCCTCCATTGGGCCCAGGCTCCCGCCTGCCTGGCTCGGTGGCCATTACCTGCAGACACGAAGAAGATGCCGGCGCTGAGGATGATGTTGTGCCGGGTCTTGTAGAACTCGCTGGCTGCGATGCAGAGGCCACCCATGAAGAGCAGGATCACGCTCAGGATTGGGAAGATGCTCGAGGCCCTCACAGCCCCTGCGGAACAGGAGGGTCACGGGGGGAGAAAGGCCAGGCTGTGAGTCTGGGGATTGTGGGGAGCCGTGGGAGGGCTGCCACACCAGGGAGTGGGAAGGAGAGTGAGCGCTGGCCGGTCCCCAGGGGCTCCTCGCTGCCTCCAGGACCAGACTCCAGCACTTCCAGACACAGGCCCTGTGTGAGGTGGCCGCCGCCTGCCCCCAGCTGCATGCTCCAGGTCCCCATGGCGTCACGTGCTGCCGACTTCTCACAGGCCAAGCTTTCTTACTGGAATGTCTCTCCTGGTCTTTATTTTGTGAACTTCTATTCATCCATCAAAACCCAGCTCCAAGTCCCTCCTCCATGAAGCCTTCCCTGACTTCCTTAGGCCAAGTCATTAGTCTTTTCCTCTGTGCTCTGGGGCACGTGGGCACACTGAGGGGCAGTGAGGTACGGTTAGGTGAACCTGTGGCTGGTCTGGAATCTGGCTGAGGCACTTGGTAGCCTTGTGTAAGTGAGGGAGCTGGCCTCTTGTGCCTCAGTTTTCTTGTCTATAAARCAGTGATGGTAAGAGCACTGGCCTCCTGAGGTGGTTGTGAAGATTAAATGAGCTGATTCAGGTCATTCATTTACGAGAGAAAGTCCCTAGGAAAACAGTGACAGTTGTGACCATAACCACTGAGGCCCCGCCCTCAGGCACAGGCCTCCCAAAGCGACCACCCTGGCTTGTTTTCCCAGTACTTTTCTGTCCACCTAAGGGCACAGCAGGCTCTCAGAAAAAGCTGGCAAGTGGATAAAGGTGGGATGGTCCAGAAAGAGGAGGAAACAGACACATTTCAAGAAAAGAGGAAGGAAAACCCAAAATGCAAATCCTTGGGGATAAGGTAAGAAGGAAGGGCTGTAGACAGGATGGGGAAGAAAAGGATTTAGTTCTGTGTTTATTTTGAGGTGCTGGGGTTGAGCCAGGGGCTTTCTCAGGCTCAGCAGGCCCTCCACCATTGAGCTGCACCCCAGCCCCCAAAGAATATTTCAGTAAAAAGGGAGAAACGACAGAGGGCAAAGGCCACAGCTCCCATGGGAAGAGGGTGCCGATGCTGAGGTGGAGGGGACAGAGGCTGGTGGCCAGGTTGGGGTGCCCTGGCAGGACCAGTGTCTGACTGAGGGCCGGAGTGTGGGGACCTCCACAAAGTGTCTCTGCAAAATCAACTATATATATGTATATATATTATCCAGATTCAAATAGGCAGCGAGGGACCTCAGGATGGTGGCTGACTCCCTGTCCCGGGCTGTGGCCAGGCAGGGCAGAGCCGATCCCAGCCCACCCGAGGCTATGGAGGGGGGAAGGATCTGCTTCAGATGCCTCTGTGGCTTCCATGGCTTCTGGGGACACTGAGTCATGTTAGGCATAGGGCTCTTGGCCAAGCCCATCCCCTCTGTGGGTGGCAAAATGACCAAGAGGGATCCGTGAAAGACCACATCTATCTAGACTGACTGATGGACGGACTTCCTCCCTCCCTCCCTCCCTCCCTCCCTCCATACTGAAATTGAACCGAGAGGCGCTCTACCACTGAGCTGCATCCCCAGCCCTTTTTATTTTTAATTTTGAGCCAGGGTCTTGCTCAGTTGCTGAGGCTGGCCTCAAACTTGCCATCCTCCTGCCTTAGCCTCCTGAGGAGCTGGGATGACAGGCGTGTGCCACCATGCCCAGCCTATCCAGACTTTTCAAAGATGGCTTTAGGTAGTTTTCTGTGACACGTGCTGTGAAGACCCTCCATCCCCTCCCTTCCGTCTACAGTGAAGTCTATGCTGCTCACTACTGCTATTGGTGAGAGTGTGTGTGTGTGTGTGTGTGTGTGTGTGTGTGTGTGTTGAGGGGGGAGACTTGAAGGGGGGTGGAGCTCTGTCCCCAGATCTGCATAGGGCAGAACCCAGCGCACCTGTGGAAGCAAGTGTGAGGCCAGGTGTGCGGGCAGCTGGCCTGTGGAGCAGTCTCAGTGCCTGCAGGGGCGTGGCTGCTCGCACCCCAGGTCCTAGTGGGATGGTCTGTCCTGCAGGTCATTTCTAAGACAGTGTGCTCTGCCCCCAGCCTGATCCCCAGCACAAGCACCCCCGCACCCCACACAGGCAGAGACGCGCTCACCTTGACGAGCATGTGGTGATGGCAGGAGAAGAGGTGGAATATTTGTTAAGCACCTGTTCTATGTGGGGTCTTGAGCAGCCACCAAACACATATTCTGTATTTTCATTTTATAACAACCCTCAGAATGTGTTTTTTGTCCCAATGTGAGATGACAAAACTGAGGTTCAGAGAGGTGAAGTAACTTGTCCGAGACTACCCAGCCAGTGAGACTGAATCCCAATCTAGATGACCTCTGTGCTCTCCCTATATGACTTCTAAAGAACATGGAAAAGGTGCCGAAGGGTCTGGAGAGCCATGTTTTGATCTTAGTTGTGCAGCTCACTTGCTGTGTGGCTAAGGCAGGTACCTCACCCTCTCTGTTTTTCTCATATGTGAGATGTGGTGTAAATGATTAGGTGATTTCCAATGGTTCTCCTCTCTGCATATGGATAGGACTTCTGGCTGGGGAGAAGAAAGAGGAGAACAAAGAGGAGAACATGGCATGACTTCTGAGGGGCAGCAGTGCCTGCTCAGATGAGCAGGGCAGAGGGAGACCAGAGCCCTGCTGGAAAGCAGGCTCTTCCTGCCCGTGGTGAGCCTGTGTCTGGCAGGCTGGATGGCACTGGGAGTGCAGAGGACCTYGCAGCAGCCCAGACCGACCTTTCCAGCTCAGCTGCTTCTGCTGTGGGATCCAGAGGTCCCAATTGGGCCCTCCTGCCAGCAGAGGAGGGAGCCGGGGTGCTGCCTGTGTGTACGCATGGGAGTGTGCGTGTGTGTGCATGTGTGTACGTGTGCAGTGAGGACACAGATGTGTGGGTAAAGATGGAGGGAGGCAGAGGTAGAAGGTTGTGTTGCAGCCAGCAGAGGACAATGTAGAGGACACGGACCTGCTTTGGGAGGCAGGAAGCTAGCTCTAAATAGTGGCGGCCAGCAGGGAACACGGAAGAGCCAGCCAGGCCAGCGTCTCTCAGAGAGTCCTCTTTACCAGGAAAGAGGAGGCTGGAGCAGCCAGTAAACAGCACCGTGCCCAGGGCTGGACTGTGCAGGGCTCAGACCCAGGCTGGGCAGGGGCTGGAGCTAGCGCCTGGGGACCTCTGTGTGGAGGAGCCTCTCGAGCCAGGTCTTTCTGCTTAGGAAGTGTCACACCTGAGTTTAAACCCTGGCTTTTCACTCACTGGGTGACCCTCGGACAAGGGTCTTTACCTGTCTGAGCCTCAGTTTCCCATCCTGTAAAATGGCAATAGTGGGAATAATAGTATCCAGCTTCCAGGAGCGCTGGAGAGCCGCGCCCTGCAAGCGCAGTCTGTGGACCAGCAGCATCTGCATCTCTGCGGGGCTGGGGAAATGCAGATCCCAGGTCTGGTGGGTATCAGGGACTGAACCCAGAGGTATATAACCACGGAGCTGCACCCCAGCCATTTAATTTTTTTTTTTTTTTAATTTACGGTCTGCTAAGTTGCTCAGGACCTTGCTAAGTTGCTGAGGCTGGCTTTGAACTCGCAATCCTCCTGCCTTAGCCTCCCGAGCTTCTGGTATTTCAGGCATGTGCCACCATGCCCCACAGAATCTGTTTTCAGGATATGCTCATGACAAGGTTTGTACATGCATAAAAGTTGGAGAGATGCCTTTGTAAGGATCAAACCGGGAAGTACTGGGACCATGAACAACGCTGGAGGTGGACAGTGACAGGCAACAATTTTGATTATTTCTCAGGCTCCTCCAAATATCACTCCCTCACAAATTCCCAAGGAGCTCCGTGTGACACTCCCCTGTGTATTTGGTACAGAGAATCAGTGTATTCCAGGGACTTTTAAGCACTGTACGTACATCAACTTGCTCGTTCTCGTTACAGCCCTGTGAAATAAGTCCTTCAATCGCATCCATTTACAGAGATTAAAACTGAGGCACAGAGAGCCCTTTATCCAGGGTTTGTGAACTCAGGTCCGTGTCTGATCACAGTGCTCTGCTGTTTAGCAATCCTCTGAGCTCCTGTGGGATCAGGGAGGCTTCCTCGAGGCAGAGATGTTGGAGCTGAGATGACTATGCTGGGCCCAGGGGGCGCAAGGCTATGGGCAGAGSCAGGCGGGTCTGGGAGGTGTTAGGAGGTGGTTTAAGGTCTGTGGATGGAGAATGGAGAGAGAAGAGGTGGCCGCAGGGATGACTTCTGGATCTTGGACTTGCAAGCTGGAGGACAAAGCAGTTTTTGAGACTAGAAGAGCTTCAGGCCAGGAGTGGGGGGAGGTGGGGGRCAGCTTGGCACATGGGAGTTGGAGATGCTCTGGGGATGCACCCATGGAGTGTGGAGAGGCACTGAGTGTCGGGGGTGGGCACAGAGCTGTGGTCTGGGCTGAGGCTGGACATTGGGATTCAGGGGCACACAAGTGAGCCCTGAAGGCTTGCCCAGGGAGGAGCCGGTTAGGCCCGAGGCTTAGGAAGCCCCCATATTTGGTGACTGGCTCAGGAAGACTGAGGACAAGTCATGTAGTGTCCCTTGGCCTCCTCTTCCTTTTCTGCAAAATGGGGGTGAAAATCTTAACCCGGGTTTTCCTGATGGGGTTGTAGTGTTTAAATAAGAACGAGGGAGTTTTGAGAGTGTAGAATGTTGGTGAACTGGGATTTATGATTCTCTGTGTTAGGGGCCAGAATGAGGAGTAGGCAGAGTGCCCAGGAAGGAAGGAAGTGACCTCTTGCCCTTTGAAAGGGGTGGCCAGAGCCACACATTCCTTGCTGATCCTGTTCTTGTCCAGTTCCATTGGAAAATCATGGAATCTGTGTCCCAGGAGGTCCAGCCCCTGTGGCCACCAGGCTGTGACACTGCTCTTCAGGGTGGGCACAGTTGGTAGACGGCTACACCGCAGGGACGAGGCCACCCTGTTCTTGCTCTCTGTCTGGTAGAGGAGGT